TATATATATATATATATATATGATATAAGTAACACTTCTTTTTAGAAGAGTGAAAATACATATTTTAATGCATAGATAAAACATCATATATGTAAAAATTAAAGTCTGTGTGATAGATAGATAAATACATAGGAATTCAGTAGTTTGAATGTAAAATTTCGTTTGATTAAGTAACATATAATAATCTCAAGTTTCACAAATTTTCCGAGCTTTTTCAAGATTATCTTCCCGATGTCATGGATAGTTAAAAAGCAGGAAGGGAGCAGAATAAACTAGAGTGCATAAAGTGGCTCTAAGTCTCGCAGTGGTATTAATCGTTGCACGAACAACTTTTAACTATTATAATTTTTAATTGTTTCTGCATGCATGTTTAATACATTTCCAATTCACTGTGAATTTAAAGCATGTAACTTAAAATTAATTTTCATTATAAACTCATAAAGATAGGTATTTTACATCTTTATGAAATAAGGTGATGGGTACTGGTGAGCTTAAAATACCTTTTTCTCAGGTAATCTCGACGAAAAATTCTGCGCAAACAACTCTTTCAACATAGACGTAAAGGGAAAGATCGTTATATGCGATCGAAAGGACGGTGTTCCCCGAATACAGCAAGGTGTCGCCGTCAAAAGTGCTGGCGGCACCGGCATGATTCTCGCTGCAGGAACATTAGACGGCTACACAACTATTTCTGAAGCTCACGTCATCCCCAGTTCACATGTTAGCTATGCTGCTGCCACAAAGATCAAATCTTACATAAACTCCACCGATTCACCCAAGACTGCCACCATCATTCCTTATGGTACCCTCATTGGCCTTAGTAGCCACCCCGCGCCGAGGATCCCCAGCTTCTCCTCCCGCGGTCCGTGTCTTCAAAGTAAGGGGATACTAAAGCCAGATATCATTGGTCCTGGCGTTAGCGTGCTTGCCGGGTGGCCAGCTCTACCAATTGGCCCAGTCAACTCGCCGGCAATTTTTAATGTGATTTCTGGGACGTCCATGGCGACGCCCCATTTAAGCGGGATAGCTGCGTTGTTGAAAAAAGCTAACCCTTCTTGGTCGCCGGCGGCCATCAGATCGGCTATCATGACGACTGCCAGTAATGAGAACACCGCCGGGCAACCGATCCAAGATGAGCAGTTGAAGAATGCGGACCTGTTTGCTAGGGGAGCAGGCCATGTCAACCCAAATAAAGCGAACAAACCAGGCTTTGTTTATGACATAAAGCCCATCGAGTACATCGCATATATGTGTGGTTTGAACTACAGCGATGCTCAGGTAGGGTGTCCAAAATGAGAATATATGATATAACTAAAAACTTAAATTTTCGATGCTATATTTAAGTACAAGAACACCTTTCTCTCTATCTCTCTATAAACATAGCGTAAACATTTTATTTTATTATTTTTGTGTCAAAAATATCTTTTTCAAAAAATTAGTTTAAATAATATTGAAATAATCCGAAGTAATTTTGAAATTTAATCTTAATTATTTTTTTTTAATATTATTTAAACTAATTTTTTGAAAAAGATTTTTATTTTCGATGATATTTAAGGCAAGCACAATGTACTGTGAAATTAATAGTTTTGCTAGTAAAAATTCATGTTAGAACAATCAGCTTGCACAATTTTCATAATCAATTTTGCAAATGGCTAATCTTAATAAGCAATTTTGTCCAATGACTAATGAATTCATGTTAAACCAATCCACAGGTAACTGCGGTGGCCCGTCGGATAGTGAACTGTTCAACATTAGAGCCAATTTATGATGTGGATCTGAACTATCCGTCTTTCTCGGTAGAGATGAGGCCAGAGTATAGTAGAAAAGTAAGTAGAAAAGTTAAAAATGTGGGAGAAGGGAGCTCAAGCTATACGGTGGAGATTGTTCCACCGTCTGGAGTAGCAGTGTCCGTATCACCGACATTGTTGAGTTTTTCAAAGAGTGGGGAAGAGTTGACATATACAGTTGAGTTTAACAGGGATGGAAGAAACTCCACCGTGAATTACGCAGAGGGTTATCTCGTGTGGGTTTCTTCAGATAAGATTACTAATGTTCGTAGTGCAATTTCTATTACATTCACAGCAACATGATTGATATTAGAAGTTTATTTTTTATGAGAAAATGAATTTGAATATCTTGCTTTGATAAGGAGTAATCAATGACTCTTAGGTTACAATCTTATATATGTATTGAGTATCCTTGGATAATAAAATATCAATTGAGATCATGTTGTTTTAAGTATGAATAATTACTTTGTATATATATATATATATATGTATATATATATATGTATATCTATATGTATATCCATATGTATACATATATGTATATATATGTATATATATGTATACATATTTGTGTGTGTGTGTGTGTGTAACCTCTTTGATACAAGTTTGTTTACTAACAACTTTTTTGAAATTAAATTAATAAAGAATAGGAAAGTAGAGATAGAAAGAAGTGACAGAGAGGAGAGATCTTTGGAAAGACTCTTCATATAATTTAAACTCTATAAGAAGTTGTAGAAGCTGTAGATGTCCATTGTTACACTTCTTGATCCCACATTTATTGTTATTCAGACGATTCAAAGAAAGCCAAATGAGAGAAATAAATAAGTGTATGAATACACTTTTTCCTTTAACAAGAATGTTGTCAAAGGGTCAAGAACATGACACTTGGAAGCCCATAAGAGGATAGAGTTTCTAAGAATTCCTTTCAAGTATGACCAATTAACAACTGAGCTAAATAGTTGTACTCACTCAAATAAGTTAGGTTGGGTGAGCATTCTATAAAAGTGTGAGTCTAGTTAAATTAGTCGAATCCTTTAACATGCTCAAGTGAACTCTGGACGAGAGTCAACTCGTCTTAACAATGTAAGTTTAATTATGTTAGAAGTTACATTCAAATCAAAGCAATACTACTAGACCTTATGGGAGTGTGCCTAAGTTTTTGGCCTGGGTATTTTGCCTTTAGACAAGTCCATCTAGGTTGAGGCAGAGCGCCTCTTCATATTATTCATTTGTGTGAGCCTTTATGTTGTATTTAAACTTGGTTCTCTCACTATGACAAAATTTGTCTAAATCAGGGAATAAATTAACAAAAAGTTTTATGCCTATTTTTTACAATATAATAATGACCTATAAATGAGAGGCATAAAATTTTGTGAATCGTTACTGAGAAGTGAATGCTCGTGTTGATGCGCGGTTTTATACGTAGAGACAAAATACGAAACAAATATAAACTTGAAAGGTTTAATTGGAGTAGCTCATTGGAAGATAAGATTAGAGTCACCTTAGATTGTTTGGTCAGATCAAACTCTGTTAAGAGAGTCGATGTTTTAGATTTGACTTATGTTAAGAAAGGCCCAGGTAGACCTAAGAAGTCTTGACCATGTTGTATAAAAAATAATCTTAATTTATTAAATTTAAAAATTTATATGACAAATTAAAAAAAAAATGATTCATTTAGTCGATCCCACTTAGCGGAAAGTCTTGCCATTTTTGTTATAATTTTTGTTGTTGTATTTTGTATTTATGATAAAATATGTGGTCGAATTGCCGACATAAAATTTACGGTTAAAAAATTGATGGACCACCAACTTGTTTATCATTAACTTGTCTTCGACTAAACCATCGTCTTAAATTAAACGGAAAATTTTTGGCAGACAAAGCCATCAAATATCTTCCAATGATCAACAGCAGCTTTAGCGAAGTCGGTCGCCAAATTGGTAAAGAGATATTTGATTTAATTAATATATATAGTTTTGAAAATTAATTGCTTAACTTTGAAAATAGGAAACCGAACTGCATGCAGACAATAATTTAAATAAATGAGCGCAACACGTTGAGTGATATATCTATCCCGAGGAATATACATATTACTTACTAGTGAGGCTCGATTAGATAAACTAAAGAGTTTATGACATCTGTTTTAGTCCGCGAACTTTCATGTTGACCGACAAGTTCTCATATCTAATATAAAAAATTAGATATTGTTTATTTTAAGTTGGGTTCTTAAAGTTCCCTATAAGGGGCAAACCCCTATAGTTAATTACATCTTAAATGACCGAGGTCACCTAAGAAAACGCTCGATAAAAATCAGGGAATATTATCTTCAAAGATGTCAAAAGGATAGAACTTTTCGACGAGATCGGACCAAGGAGTGTCAAATGTGAAAGACTCAAATTTTGAACATTGTTGAGGAATCCAGATGAAAAGGAACTAGGGGATGTCATAGATCCTGAGGAGAACCTCGACGGCTTCCCAAACTATCCTAATATTTAGCTTCAATTTCGAGAATATGTTATTTGACATTTAATCCTGCCAGTTTTATTATTTAGGGCTTATATTTAGGGCTTATATTTGCATGTAGGGCTTATATTTGCATGACACGGTCACACAAGTCGCCTAGAAAATATGAGGGTTTACGTCGTATCGGACGACAACCATAGAACCCAGAACGAGTTAGGGCTTAAATTGCACAACCTGGCTGTGCAAAGGCCTAAAAGATAAAATGACGATTTATGTTGCGCTAAGCAGACTACCTCGAAGCAGACTACCTCAAAATCCTATGGCTTGTTGTTTAACTCTAAGGAAAAGTTTTGCTGATGTAGACATGTCTTGCTGTTGAAGATGGTCGTGCTGCTCACAATGCTAGCTCCAAGCTTTTCATCATAGCATCTTTGAGTTCGATATTTAGTTTTTTAAGGGTACATGCAATAGTTGAGTCAACAACTGTTGTCGGGTACCTCCTAGAAAACCGACTACTGTTCTCTTGTGTTGGGTTTGCAAATACATAGCAATTGGGTGTGCGACGTATTTACATACATACCACCCAATTGTGTTGGGTTTGCAAATACATAGCAATTGGGTGGTATGTATGTAAATACGTAATTGTGATGGGGTTGGGTAAATACATAAGATTTTCTGTGGAATGGAAATTTTCGTTGATAAACTCATGATACATAAATGTTATAAGTGAAGCATTGGGTATCATATAAATAAACGCATAACAATTCCTAGGCGTCGTATGTAACCATTCCTATTTTATTTATTGCACAACATTCCTCCAAAATTAAAATCTCAAACCTGCTTGAGCAAAATTCATCTTCAAAAGATTCAAATGATAGGGCATATTGATATTTCAAAAAATTTAGAATCAAAGAATTCATGTAGCCTTAGCCACCTGGATTGACTATAAATTTCAATATATACATATTCCTTTCTCACAACAATTCTATAAAGGATGCCAATAATGAGGGTTACTTCAATCATTCATTCTCATATCCAAGGATGCACGATGAAAGATATTAAGCTTAATTTTTTTAGCATACTCGAATAGAATCAAGCAGGGAAGCATGTAATCACATGAGATTAGGCATGAAATACATGAGAATCGTGTGCAATGTATGGGAATGCACCAACATATGCATATTGAAGCAATATCTACACCGCAAAACTGTGTTCAAGAACCTGTATTGGAATCTGAATAGCTTCAATAGCTTCGCTAAGAATAGCTTCGCTAATAAGACTTAAAGCGTGCTAAACATAGAATGCTAAGTTGAATCCATATAAACAACATTGCATTAAAGGAAAAGATTGTCATATAGCAAGGTGATGCTTAAATGAGCGGCTCTAGCATATATTGTTGTATAAAGGATCCTTGCTCATGTTAACCAAGCGTAAAAGGAAAGCTTAAACCACACATAATATTGCCTCTTTGTTATCAAATCGATCATGAATCATGAAATGGTGAAGCTAAAGGGATCAAGCTAAATCAATAAATGTCCAGCAAAGCCATAAAAACATCAACCAACCAGAATATTCGAGCAGGTCAGCAAGGCCTCGAGAAACCCATAATACTATCGGGCAGCCAAGCAGGGATATCAACAACCAAGCAAGCAGATTGAGTGATTAAGGGGTGAGGAGGTTACCTCTTGGCACAAATCCAAGGCAAATGCAATAATAGAAATATATTGTACAACACCTCCTTCTATCGAAGCTCTTTTGAACCAACCCAAAATCCCAATGGACAAATAAGCGACCAAGCAAAGGTATCGAGTGAACCAGCAAGGAATGCAAAGAACCCAGCCAAAGTGTCGAGCAAACAAGTAGCACGAGCAAACAGAAAATCCGGCAGCACCTCTCCTTTCCCCAAAAGTTTCGAACAACGCCCAAACCTCCCCCAGATGAGGTTTTTATAGCAAAGAAAGGGAGTAGACGCAATACCATGTTTTACCGGAGGTGAAACGTAGCTCGAAGGCGACAGACGAGAAGCGAGAAGAGGCGTAGGAGAGCGTGGCGGGTAGAAAGCTGGAGCGCGGCAGGGAGCAGGTGAAGACAGAGCGCATGGTGACAGGGAACGGCCTTTAGGCAGAGCGACAGATGTACGAGGAGGGGACCTCGGCTCGAAGTCGCGCGAAGAAGAGGAGCTTCAGCTGGCACGAATGCGGGAGAAAGAGGCATACGGGGCTAGGGCTCGCGTGCGGATCGCTCGCGGGAGAGAAAAGGATCGGGCCAAAATGGAGAAGGATTAGGGATTAAGAAAAGGATTTTTTTTATTTATTAAAACAATCTCAAATTTCGTAAAATTTAGTCGTGTGCGATGACCTAGCAAAATGAGTGTCCCTTATAGCTAAAATCAATGTTACGGAGGCAACGACACAGTCCGTTTTGTCATCTAAGGTCATTCGGACAACCTCATCGACGATCGGATCAAAATGTGTCAAAATCGATTTTATTAAAATTTTGACATGCAATTGATCGTCTCAAAATTTATTAAAATTCTTGATAGATAACAGTGCAAGCGATGTGAATTGTGGAAAACGAATATCTTGATTGTTTGAATTGAGATGTTCTTGCGCGCGAAAGTGCAAATTGTGCAAGAGGCAACCCTAGGACTTAATGATCCTATAGAAACTTATTTTGAGTTTCCTCATGTTGGTTTCAATCTCCTAAGTGCTAGAAGCCGATACCACACATGCGAAACTCCAAAAGGGTACAAAAGTAGGTTGGATTTCTAAAATGAGGTGGGTCTCATCTCTAAGGCTCTAAGAAAGTCAAAGGGAGAACCCTAAGGCTAGATCTTAAATCCTAAGAGGAAGACTAGACCTCAC